TCTGTCCCAGATGCCTTCTCTCCCAGCTCATAAAGCAAGCTTTCAGCCATGGAAAAATCTTCCTGACCCTGTCTCTACTGTCCTTGGGTGTTTGTCTCATATTATGATATTTTATATTCCACAAATGAGTGCAGTCATTCTATGCCGGTCTCTCTCTTTCTGACTTATTTCACTTAGCATGATACTCTCCGTGACCAACCACTTTTAAGCAGATTTCATGAATTCATCTTTTCTAACAGCTGCATAGTATTCCATTGTGTAGATGTACCCAAAGTTTCTTTAACCAGTCATCTGTTTTCGGACACCCGAGTTGTTTCCAGTTTCTGGCTATTCAGGGATCCAAGTAGGGTTGGTCATGTGCAACAGAATCTTTGTATTTTTTCTCCAGCAGCCCACCCTTTTTCTTTTTCATGTTATTTCCTGTTTTCTTTCTTTGTAATTATTGGAATTGGTCCATAGACAGAATTTCATTGTGTGATTTCTAAACAGTGAGTACAGAAGATAGTGTGTGTGAAACCATCCTGATGAGGAGATTTCGTATAGTGAATACTCTCTCTCTGCCTCTTTATTTTTGGTTTGTGTTTGTCCCATATGCAGTGATGCTCAGGACTTGCTCCTGTCTCTATGCTCAGGGATCACTCCGGGTGGGGGTAAACACCTTGCCCACTGTATTACGGCTTTGGTCCCAATGACCTTATGTGCTCATCATTGCCAGATGTACTTGACTCTAAGTTTTTTCCCTCTGTCATTTTATTCATTTGGCAAATAGAGAGAAAACAATCCTCCATTAGTATGAATTTACAGCTACAAAAAGCATGTTCTTCTTTGTACCTGTCAATGCGGACATACACATGGAAACTGCAACTTGTCATGCATTATTATTTTCTCTTATCTCAGGAAGATGGTTGGCACAGTGTTGAGTGATAGTAGCTGCACTGGAATTCAAAAGACACTCCAGATAGATTTGTGTCATTCCACTGCCATTTGAATACAGAAATAATTTCCCACATTTAGATTTTATTGTCCAATTTCCTATATGAAACCAAGAGAAGAAAATAAGACTTCCACCTGCCCTGAAGAAACTTGTGTTCTCTCTTAGGTATGTCTTTCTTTCTCTCCTGTTTTCCCTTTACTTTTCTCTGTGGAAATTTTAATATAAAACTGTTTTGCTTCACACACAAAAATAAATTAATCAAGTTTTTTTTAGTAATTTTAAGATTTAATAGATTTTAATTTTATTAAATTTAATCATTATGGTTTTCACATGTTTACAAGTGTTAACATTTAAAGTTTGAGTGTGTACAGTTAATATAACTCCCCACCATCAAAGTTCCTCAAAGCCTCCACCAATGTCACTGTGTCACCTCCATCCTCTTTATCTCCCCCCAACTCTTCCCCTTGTTTCGTAGTACCAGTTTTGTAATAAGAGTTGTTATCATTTGATAGTAACATGTCATCGCTCTGTTTCTTTGTAGATCACAGTTGAGTGAGACCATCTGATATTTTATTCTCCCTCTGATTTATTTCACTTGATATTATGTTGTCCAGTTCCAGGCAAATGGAAGTGAACGAAAAGATTTCATTTTTTGTTATAGATGCCTATTATTCCATTGTGTACACATACCACAAATTCTTTATCCATTCATCTTTAGGTGGTTTCAATAGTGCGGCTATTGCAGTTGGTGCTGTAATAAGATAGGTGTTCATATATCTTTCAAATTAAAGATTTGGTACTTAGAGGATAGATGTTGAAAAGTAAAATCACTAGGCCATATGGCTATTTCATTCTTGTTTTTTAGAAAATTCTCCGTACTATTTTTCATAGAGGCTGAACAGACAAAATTCCCTTGAATAGTAAATGAGGATTCCTTTTTCAGATGTCATAGACTTTAAACTGGTATTTTAAATGTACAGGGAATGTGTCTTAATTCCTCTGTTATGAGAATTTTAATGTAAAAAATATTTCATAAAGGATGAAATATATATATATACACATATAGTTGTATACATATATACCATTGGAATGTTGGAGAAATCATGACATCAAAATTAATGAAAAGTATAAACCGGAGTCAGGTACATTAAGAGAATATAACAAGTGTATATCTTCCATTATTGACTGCTTGGTAGTCAATTTCATAACTTCCTAAATTGCTCTTTAAAAACTAGTATCATGACAAACTGTCCAACAAACACTGTCCTCCCATTGTTTGTCGACTTGCTCGAGCGGGTCCAGTAACATCTTCATTTTTGAAACTTGCTGTTACTGTGTTTGTTTGGCATATTGAATACGTCACAGGGAGCTTGCCAGGCTTTGCTGTGAGGGCAAGATACTCTCTATAGCTTGCTGGGCTCTCCGAGAGGGGCAGAGGAATTGAACCCGGCTTGGCCGGGCTTGCTGCATGCAAGGCAAACACTCTACCACTGTGCTATTGCTCCAGTCCAGCATCATGACACAATGGTTTTTTTTTTACCTTTTTCCAAAATCCATCCCTTCACCAGTGTACATTTCCCACCACCAAGAACACCAGCTTACCTCCTGCCTCCGTGGCAGGTACTTTTCTTCTCTCTCTCTCTCTCTCTCTCTCTCTCTCTCTCTCTCTTTAGTGTGAGTCTTGCTAGTGGTTTCGCGGTCTTGTTTATTTTTTCAAAGAACCAGCTCTTGGTTTTATCGATCATTTTGATTGTGTTTTGGGATTCCAGCTTGTTAATTTCTGCTCTAAGTTTTGTTTTTTCTTTCTTCCTCCTGCCTGATTTGGGCTCCTTTTGTTGGTCTATTTTCTAAGATTTTAAGCTGTGTGGTTATTTAGGTGGGCCTTTCTTCCTTCCTGATGTATGCTTGCAGAGCTATAGACTTTCCTCTTAAAGGTGCTTTTGCTGTATCCCACAAGTTCTGCCATCTCATGTCCTCACTCTCATTTGCTTCCAGGAATCTTGTGATTTCCTCTCTAACCCACTGATTGCTCAATAGCCAGTTGTTTATTTTCCAGGTATTTAATTTGATTCTCCATTTATGTGTGTTACTAACTTCTAATTTCAGTGCCTCATGGTCTGAAAAGAGAGTTGATACCATTTCTGTCCTCTTAATGTTTTAGAGGTATGTTTTGTGTCCAAGCATGTGATCTATCTTGGAAACTGTTTCATGTTCATTGGAGAAGAATGTATATTCAGCTTTGGGGGGATGAAGGGCCCTAAATATCTACTGACTCCCTCTATCCCACTTCATCCTTTAAATCCAGTATTTCCTTGCTGGGTTTTAACCTCATTAATCTATCAAGGGGTGACAGGGCAGTACTGGTCTATAACTAATAATGTGTTGCTTCCAATGTCTTTCCTCAAGTCTATTAGTAGTTGTTTTAAGTATTTTGCTGGTCCCTCATTGGGCACATACACATTCAGGAGTGTAATTTCTTCCTGATATATGCATGCCTTGATTATTAATAAATGACATTCATTGTCTCTTGTAACCTTTTTCAGCCTAAAATGCATGTCGCAGGATACTAGTATGATCAACCTGGCTTTTTTGAGGAAGTTGTTTGTTTGAAGAACTACTTTCCAGGCTTTCACTTTGAGTATGTGTTTGCTTGAACTATTCAAATGTGTTTCTTGTAGACAGCAGAATTTTAGATTCAATTATTTAATCCATTTTGCCACCTGTGTCTTATAACCGGTACATTTACATCATTGATTATTGTGATGGGGTTTTGTGCCATCTTTCTTTTAGAGGAATTTTATGCTTATGGAGTTTGTCTCGAGCGGGCCCAGTAACGTCTCCATTGGAGACTTTGTTGTTACTGTGTCTGGCATATCGAATACTCTCGGTAGCTTGCCGGGCTCTCCGAGCCTTACAGTTGTTACCCCTTGAGTTTTTCTTTTAAGATTGATTTTCAGCCTATGAAGTTCCTGAGCTATTGTTTATCCGTGAATTTCTCTATCATTCTTTCAAATCTGAATAAGAATCTTAGTGAAGCCTTCATTTTGTTAAGTTTTTGAACTATATCGCACCACTGTCCTCAGGATTACAGGGTTTCATTCAATAGTTTCGCTGTAAATCTAAGGAATTACATGCTGTAAATCTTTGCATGTAATTCCTTTCTTTGATCTTGCTTCTTTCAGTATTGTATTTCTTTTTTTTTCTTTGTGTACACATTTAGTTTTATTGTAACAAAGCAACTTGTACACTTTTTAACGTTTAAAATTGAGCATCTTTTCTTTCCAGTGAAACAAAAAAAGAAATTTAAAAATAAAACAGGAACAAAATTACAATAGAGAATGTCAATTCCAAATAAGATCCTACAGGTTCTGCTGATTCTCCCATCGAGTGGCAGGGCTCAAGTCATCATTAGGAGAGAATTTTATTTTAAAAGTGTCACCTTAAACTGCAAGGATGTCCGTTAAACATCACAATTAAACATGCCAAAGGAGAAGCCATGTTGTCAAAATGCCCACTTAACCCACCCAAACATCTCAAACCCACCCTTTTGCTGACCTTCTATAACCCCATTTTTTTTAAAGTTTTTTTTCTTTTTTTAAACAAGAGAAAGTAGACAGATACATGTTGGTAAACGCTAACTGTCCATATTCACATAGAGACACAGTGTCATCTCTGAGCCCAATATACAGAGAAAGGAGAAAAAAAGCTAGAATTCTATGCACTACTACACAGGGGCCTGGCCCTCCAGCTTCAGCAGAGCTAAGGGTGCAGAAGGTCTTTCTTTTTTCCCCGCAGCGCACGGTGGTGTAGATTCCATCAAGTCTGTGTTGAGACGAGAAGTGATAAAATTTAATTTGGAACAGAAACCAGTAGTCTTTCCCCACTGAATTCTGTTCAAGGTATTTCCCCGAATTAGGTAGAGAACCATGGTGTAAAGGAGAGAAAAAGAGACCTCAAAAAACAGGGCGACAGACTGAGCACAGGGAGTGGGGACGGGGAGGGGCGGGGCAGGGCTAGGGGAGGGGGAGAGAAAAGAAAAAAGACTGCATCTTGCTCCCAGGGAGAAAATTAAAAAAGATTGGAATCCGTCAGTGTTCCGTTAGTCATCTTCTCCTTCATCCTCCTCTCCTTCCTCTCCCTCGTCGTCATCTTCATCTTCTTCACCTTCATCTTCATCCCCTTCTTCATCAATATCTTCCAATCCTTCTTCCTCTTCATCATCGTCGTCATCTTCTTCTCCTTCCCCTTCTTCATCATCCATGTCAGGAACCAAGTAGTACTGCAATGGGTTTGGCCAAATGTCGTCGTTGATGACCTCGCCGAGCTCATCTGCACCAGCATCCGAATGGTCAGTGAACCAAGTGAAGAAGCTCTCGGGTTCCTCATGCTGTCTCTTCCTGCTGGCTTTATTCTGTGTTTGACTTGCGCGTTTCGTCAAATCCTTTCCAGATTTCCATTTGATTTCAGTGGCCTTTGAAGATGGATCACCACTCTCATTCAGATGAAATTCTTTGGAGAGAACTTTATTTTCAAAGTAAGGGTTTTCATCAAAATAAAAATCTATTCTGTAACCTGATTTAATATCTTCAAATTCTGTCACTTCAACTCTTGTCAAATAATGCAGCGCCTCTTCATCCTCCTCCCCAAGCAGCGCAGACACTTGTGGATGGTTGACAAATGTTGTTACCCAAAAGTTGGGGATTTGGGCGATCAATTCCGACCTCTTCTGAAAAAATGGTTGGCGGAGTTTGTTATACTTCTGTTCTACTTTCAAAATCTCCTCACTGGCTTGCTCATTAAGTCTGTCTATTTCATTTTGTACTTCATCAATATGTTCAATCGCTTCCTGCTGCTCTTTTTCTGAGGTCTCGTCGGCCCCGTCCTGGTTAGAGTTGAGCTCCTTTTTACTGACTTTGGCCGCCGGCGCCGACGTGGTGCTGCTCCCGCGGGGGGCGGGCGGGGAGGCGCGAAGGGCAGGCGACGGGCGGCGGGGGGGGGGGGGGGCGGCGGCGGCGGCGGCTTCCCCTCTCGCCACACGCGCAGCTCCTCGCTCGCTCCGGCCGCCTCCTCCCGGGCTCGCTCGCTCGCTCGCTCGCTCCCCGGCGGCTGGCGCGCGCGGCCCTTGCGGCCTGGCGACGAGGGCGGGGCTGGCGCGGCGCGGCGGCCGGGCCGGGCCCGGGCGCTGCGACGGCGGCGGCAGCGGCGAGCTGGCGGGCGGGTGGTGGGCGGCCGGGCTTCACTCACGCTCCTGCTCCAGCTCGCTGCTCGCTCTCGGAGCCGCCTCCTCCTCCTCCTCCGCCGCCTCCTCCTCCTCCTCCTCCACCTCCACCTCTTCTCTCAGTATTGTATTTCTATCTATCGTATTTGTCATTCTGATTACAATATGCCTTGGGGTCTTTTCTATTAGGACCTATTTTAGATGGTACTCTGTGGTCTTCTTGGATCAGGATGTCTGCATTCTCCAGCACTGGGAATGATGTCTTTACCTACTAATATCTCCTTGGGGTTGTCTCCCTGTCCCCCATGGTACTCTAATGATTCTTTTGTTGTTCCTCTTCAATTCATCCCAGAGTTCTCTGATCTAGATTGGAGTTATTTTGTGGATTTTCTCTATCTTTTGATGTTCCTTAGAGGTTTTCTGCATCTCATCCTCAAGTTCAGTGATTCTATCTCCAGCCGTTGTTACTCTCCTGCTAAGGGCACCCATTGAGTTTTTATTTCATCTACCAAATTTTTAATTAATGGATTTCTGTTTGCAATTTTCTTATTACTAGTCTAATTTCCTTCTGTATTTTATTGGCTGCCCATTCCACTGTATCTTTGAGCTCATTAAGCATTCTCACTAGTTTGTTTCTGAATTTTCTTCAGAGAGATTACCTATGTGAGTTTCAGGGCTCCTCTATTCATCCACTCCTCATTGTGTTTTTCTGCACTGTTTACCTATGATGCCCACTGTACTCTGGAGGTTGATTCTTTCTAGCACGCTATTAGCCTAATCCCCCTCACTGCCTGGGAAGGAGCTGGCAGAGTTTGGGGATGGTCGTATCTTCTTTCCCTGAATGAGATAGAGTGGGGGAAATTAACTGGCGGTCACAGGAACAGTCACTCACCCCAACCTGTGGGAGGAGCAAGGCAACAGGGCAATAGATTCTGTGTCCCAAACTGCATCCAGCTTTTGGGCCCCCAGGAAACAACACTTAGGTTTAGAGAGGAGAGCCTGGCAAGCTACCAAGAGTATCTCGCCCCTGCGGCAGAGCCTGGCAAGCCACCTCTGATGTATTCAATATGCCAAACACAGTAACAACAAAATCTCCAATGGAGACCTTACTGGGCCCACTGGAGCAAATCAATGAACAATGGGAGGGCCTTTACTTTACTTTCCTTTTTAGGTTGAAGAGATTGCCCAATCATCTCCCAGATCGATAAGCTATGAGATACCAGTGTAGATGAATATTTGTACATCTTTACTAGCAGTGCAGGCATCCCTCCCTTTCACATATTTTTTTCTTTAAAAAATTTATTAGTGTTTGGGGCTGGAGCAATAGCACAGCGGGGAGGGCATTTGCCTTGCACGCAGCCAACCCAGGCTCGATTCCCAGCATCCCATATGGTCCCCTGAGCACTGCCAGGGGTGGTTCCTGAGTGCAGAAGCAGGAGTATCCCCTGTGCATCGCAGGGTGTGACCCAAAAAGCAACAACAAAAAAAATTATTAGTGAAGTTTATACCAGCTTGAATCAGCTTAAATCAGCTTAATCAGTGGCTGAATGAATAGCAATAATCCTACATTGAAAAAAATAATAAATTTTAATTTTTTAAAGTAATTCTACTCCTTAAATTTCTAGGAAAATGTTTTTAATTAAGTAGTTTATCAATGGAAGGCACTTTGCCTATATAAACTTTGTATTTTCTCTTACAGGGAAATTCCTACCTACAAAGTAAGCAGTGCTTCTGGGTTCAATTCTCTAAAAACTTCAAATATAACCTTCACTTTCACTTACAGCTAAAGTTCTGAGTAACAACAGAGTAAGGATTAACAGCACATATGGTTACTTAATAGAATAAAGTGAAATATTTTTATTTTTTATATTCTAATGTTTTCCCTGTTCATTTTTTATAAGCTGGTGCTTGTTATGATCACTTGTGGGTTTTATTCCAAAGGAATTTTGTTTCTCCCTCCCCCCTTTTTAATGAATCACTGTGAGATACACAATTACAAAACTGTTCATGATTGGGTTTCAGTCATACACACCCATTCCTTCATCAGTGTACATTTCCCACCAGCAATGTCTCAGTTTCCCTTCCATCACCTCCCCTAAATGATTATATTTCTTATTTAATTTTTATTTTCCAGTTCCCCACATAGTAAAACAAACTAATGTAAAAAAATCTAAACTCCAGAGGATGAAAAAATAACATAATGTATTTTTGTATTTATTATTAGTGAAAAGTGTGGCAAAGTAAAATTGGCTCAGATGAATTTCATGTGTGCTTTCAGTGTAAAGAAAAGTGAATCAGAGCCAGAGAGATAGTACAGGGGTTAAGGTACTTGCCTTACATGTGACAGACTTGGTTAGACCCGCTGCTCTGAATGTATACTGCTGAGCGCTTCTGGGCATGAACCCTAAGTACAGTCAGGAATAATGTTTGAGCACTACCGGATATGGCCCAAAGGAAAATGAACCAATAATCTAGTTGAACTATTTATTTCTTAACAAGCTATTTATTTATGTGTATAGTAGAGTAGCTATTTCCCTACTTAACTGCCCTAGGAGGTCAGCTAGAAACTCAAATGCTGAACAGTATGGTAGCTATAAACTGCTAAGGCTCTAAGTAAAAAAAAATACCTATATTTAGGAAAATTTCAATACTGCCTTTTTAAAAGTTGCAAAGCAAAAACTTGATGTTGGAATAGTGTGTGCTTGAAACCCTTTTATTAAGCATTTTGTAATTTAGAGCCTAAATAAAAATAGAAACAAGAGGGAGGTAAGAAAAATACGACATTGTTAATGAGAGTTTTCTTTGCCTTGGTGGTAATATAGTTTATTTATGCATTGTCCATAGTAAAAATAATTTTGTATATAATAAATAAAAATGTGATTTGCATGACACAAAAAGCTGCATGTAAACATAATGAAAGAGGCAAGATTATGAAATTGAGATTATGGCTCCTGACATGCCCTGTGATCAGACGTGCTGTGCCCTCATGCTTGGGCTCATGTTTCCTCAGAATGTGGCTAAGCAGGGGCAAGCTGTGACCCCAGACGGCATTTCCTGACAGAAGCACAGGAAGGGGATCAAGATAAGCCTTAGCAGATTGTGGAACAACGCCTCTGGAATAGTAAAGAATATGGGGGATTGACGATGTAGGACTTCTTAGAAACAGCTTCAACTAGCAAATGCTCTTGTTAGTCATTACTGAAAGAAACAAAAACATTTGGGGGCTGGAGAGATAGCACAGTGGATAAGATACTTGCCTTGCATGCAGGCCTACCAGGTTCTATCCTTGGCGTCCCATATGGTCCCCCAAGCCCCATCAGGTGTGATCCCTGAGTGCAGAGACAGAGGTAACCCCCAAGCACTGCTGGATGTGGACCCAAAAAGCAAAGAAACAAACAAATAAATAAAAACATTTAAATATGAAAAAGGAAAAAACAAAATTAGTAAAGTCACAGATTACATTTCTTTAAGCGAAATTACCTCGGGAAAAATCATCCGGTAGTACTTATTTTTTTTACCTATTTCATTAGATATATAAACACAGTTTATGGGGATATGGCCCAAAAATTTATGTTTTGTTTGTCTTTGCTCTTTTCTATGTTGAGAAATGTATAAAATGTCACACATGCCTCTTCCAGGAAATATTTCATGGCAGTATTGATGGCATCCCTGACTGCTATAAAACTTACTCCCTTTTGGCTAAACTGTGTGTGGTATCATAAAATTCCCTGTCAAAGCAGTTCTAATTGTAAAGAACATTGAAAGTATTGCATTTCTGGAATTTAAGTTATACTATAAAGCTATAGAAAACATACATTTATGTGTGCATAACTGGAGTCAAGATGCACCCTCAAATCAGTAGAATTGAAGTGAGATTCAAGAGGTAAGTCCTCAGATCTATGTACAACTAACGTATAATAAAAAATCTGGCTATCACACCCGCTAGGGGAAAAGGCAGCTCAGATAAAGAAGGGAGCACCAAATAAAGGGTGTTGGGAGGATCCTCCCAGGATGGGAGAAGCATGCTGAAAGTAGACTATAGACCAAACATGATTGCCACTCAAAGCTTCTTTTGTAAACCACAACACCCAAAAGGAGAAAGAGAACAGAGGGTAATGCCCTGCCACAGAGACAGGGTGGGATGGAGGGGAAGGGGAGTGGGAGAGATACTGGGATCAGTGGTAGTGAAGAATGGGCACTGGTGGAGGGATGGGTACTCAAACATTGTATAATTGAAACCCAAGCACAAAATTTTTTTTAAAGTTTATTTTTATTAGCGAAACACATGAGGTACAGTTGTAGATTTACAAGTTGTTGTGCTTGGGTTTCAGTTATGCAATGATCGAGTACCCATCCCACCACCGGTGCCCATTCTCCATCCCCACCAATCCCAGTATCCCTCCCAAACCCCCATCCCCCATCCCACCCTGCCTCTGTGGCAGGGCACTCCCTTTTGTTCTATCTCTCCTTTTGGGTGCTGTGGTCTGCAGAAGAGACATTGGGTGGCAATCATGTTCGGTCCATAGATTACTTTCAGAAGGCATCTCCCATCCTGGGCAGATCTTCCCAGCAGCAGTTATTTGGTGCTCCCTTTACTATCTGAGCTGCCTTTACCCCTGGAGTGTGCGGCTGGCCTCTAAGCCATGGAGTGAACAATCTGGTATTTATCACAGCTGTTCTCGCGTGTTAGTCTCTTATTTTGTTACTTTATGTTACCCAGATGAATGCCATCTTTCTATGTCTGTCCCTCTCTTTCTGACTCATTTCGCTTAGCATAATATTTTCCATGTAGTACCACTTGTATGTATATTTCATGACTTCATTTTTTCTAACTGCTACATAGTACTCCATTGTGTAGATGTACCAAAGTTTCTTTAACCAATCATCTGTTCTTGGTCACTCAGGTTTTTTCCATATTCTAGCTATTGTAAACAGTGCTGCAATGAACAAACAAGTGCAGATGTCACTTCGACTATACTTTTTGGCCTCTCCGGGGTATATTCCCAGGAGTGGTATTGCTGGTTCAAATGGGAGCTCAATTTCTAATTTTTTGAGAGTCGTCCATACAGTTTTCCAAAAGGGTTGAACCAGTCGGCATTCCCACCAGCAGTGAACGAGGGTCCCTTTCTAGCCACATTTGCGCCAACACAGGTTGCTTTTGTTCTTTTGAATGTGGGCCAGTCTCTGTGGTGTGAAGTGATATCTCATTGTTATTTTGATCTGCATCTCCGTGATGATTAATGATGTAGAGCATTAGTTTAACTAAGGAAGTAAAGGACCTGTACAAAGAAAACTACAAAACGCTCCTTCTTGTAATAAAAGAGGACACGAGGAAATGGAAAAATATCCCCTGCTCATGGATGGGGAGAATTAATATTGTGAAAATGGCAAGACTTCCCAAAGCACTGTACAAATTCAATATGATCTCTATTAGGATACCCATGACATTCTTCAAAGAAATGGAGCAAGCACTCCTGAAATTTATATGGAACAATAAGACCCCCTCGAATAGCTAAAGCAATTCTTGGGAAAAAGAAAATGGGAGGAATTAACCTCCTGAACCTCAAACTCTATAACAAAGCAGTAATAATTAAAACAGCATGGTACTGGAACAAAGGCAGAACTGCAGACCTATGGAACAGGGTTGAATATACTGACATCTCCCCTCAAACATATGATCATCTAATCTTTGATAAAGGCGCAAGAAATGCAAAGTGGAGTAAGGAAAGCCTTTTTAACAAATGGTGCTGGAAAAATGGATGACTACATGCAAAAAACTGGGCTTAGACCTCTGCCTAACATCATGTACAAAAGTAAGATCAAAATGTATCAAAGACCTCAACATCAGACCAGAATCCATAAGGTACATTGAAGACAAAGTTGGCAAAACCCTCCATGACATTGACGCTAGTGGTATCGTCAAAGATGTCACGCCACTGGCCAAGCAAGTGAAAACCGAGATAGACAAATGGGACTATCTTAAACTAAGAAGCTTCTGCATCTCCAAAGCACAAAATTTTTAAGTCTACAACTGTACCTCATGGTGTTTCACTAATAAAAAAAAAGATAGTAAAGACCATGTACCACACACCCACAGTCAACATCATACTCAAAGGTGTTAAAGTAAAAGTCTTCCCTTTGGGAGGAGAGATAAGCAAGAACGTCTTCTTTTTCCACTGCTGCTCAGTATAGTTTTGGAAATACTTACTAAAACAACTCAGGAAAGAAAAATCAAAGGGATCCAGAAGAAAGTAGTTACACTATTACTCTTTGTAGATGATATAAGAATGTACAGAAAAAACCCCAAAGATTCAGCCTAAAAATTTTTATTAATGATAAATACTTACACCAAGCTACAAAGTCAATGAATGCAAAGCACTTTACACTTCCATGTATAAAAAATCATCTAGAAGAAAAATAAATCAGCAAAGCCACTTAAATCTCATTTCTATAAAACTCAGTAATCAATACAGGATGTGAAATACATATCGTGCAACAATCCCTCTGAAGAGACTGTGGTATGTATACAAGATGGAATACTGTTTATCTTCAAGAGATGATAAAATCATTCTGTTTTCAGCAAATGTGGACAGAACTGGAAGGTATCATGTTAAGAGAAATAAATCAGAGTGAGGACAAACATCAAACAATCTCGCTCAACTGTGAAACATGGAAAGACAAAACAAGGGAATAGATAGAGTTACACAATGACTCACTCTCGGTGACAAAACTTATTAACAATCAGTTTGGGGACAGTTGGAGTTGAAGATGAGCAGACTACAGGTACTGTATGGAGACTTGGTGGAGGACAATGGTGGTGGAAGTGGTGGTTGCAGTCATTGTGCATGGCAACCCAATATACATTTGTAAATCTGAAATACATTAAACAAAAATTAAAAAAATAAATGGTGTGTGATTATATAAATGAGATCTATGAGATAATATCTAAGGAAATTCCTTTTGCTCTCCAAATAGCTACTTCTTACAATGCTTGTCAAAAGATCATCATCCTTAAGATCCTTTGTATCTCATAACCTAAAGTATATTGAATACTCACATTATAACAGAGAAGATTTTGATCTCATACTCTGGGGGGTGGGATGAGGAATGTATAAATTACACCAGTGATACAACTGAAAAACACAAACTCTCATCTGGATGACTGTCTTATCTGATATTTGTAGATGTGAATGAGTCACATGAGTTCTTTTTTTTTTCAAATTTAGAATGATTTTTTAGAAACTTGGTTCAGAGACCATTAATTTACTCCAAATACTTGTTTCTGAAGATATTGTGCTTTATCACTACTATTTATCGTAAGTACTAACAATGTTTGTTGGCTCACTCTAGAAATGCACCTTTCCCTTGGACTCTGGAGTAGGAAGGCCACAGACTCGGGAAGGACAGAATGACTTCCAGGCCCTGTTCTACTCCAGGACTATTAGGCTAAGGGTATTTCCATCTTCAGGATATCTCCTCCAGGAGTTCTGTCCTGAGTCCTCTCATGGGAAGATATTAACTTTATCTCTCCAATATTAATTCTACTTGTATCTCTATTCAGCACTTTTATTCTTTGGTTATGGGTATCAGTGGTGCTGATATGATCACTGTATTTCCCAAGGATACACCTTGATGTCTCTTGTTTCCTACAAAGTTCATGATACACCATGTAGAATTACAGGTACAAGAACCTACAAGACATTGTAACAATGGTGTATATTGACACAAAGACATGGCTCCATTTTATTTTTTATTCTTATAAATGTTAATCTGTGAAATTGCAAAGTCATTCGGGATTTGGTTTCAGGCACACAATGTTCAATGCCAATCCCTCCCTCAGCGTCCAATTCCCTCCACCAATGCTTCCTCCATCCAAATCTATTTGCATCCTTCTTCCCAGTCTGCCTCTAAGACCGGCACTTTTTAAAAAATTAAAAATTTTCACTGTAGTTTACAATGCTTTACTGAAAGATTTTCATGCCTAACACTTAACCACCTTTCTGCAACCCCTCGTCCTCCTTTGTGAAAGTTTCTTCCACAATTGTTCTAGCCCACTGTTATCTTCCCCATTCCTCAACCACTGCCAAGTAGCATGCTTACTACTGAAGATCAGTTCTCATATTCTTGCCTCCATTTGGGGGGGTACTAGTAATTGATTTTCTATTTGACCCATCATTCTATTTCTTGGAATATTCACAATGAGTCAAAAATATGGATAAAAGACATTTGCACCCCTATTCTCCTGGCAGCACTGGAGAGACAATAGCCAAAATCTGAAATCAGTCTAAGTGTTCAAGAAGAGATGAGTGGATAAAGAAACTACAGTGCTTATAAAAATAGAATATTACTGAGCCACAAAAAATAATATCATGCACTCTGTGGATACATGAATGGATCTATAGAACATTATCTGAGTACAGTCACTCAGAGGGAGAGAGAGCCACACAGAATGGTCTCACTCATACCCAGAATAGTAATAAACATGATGGGGGAATAACAAATGCCATTTTGCCTCACAATGAGCCATTCTCTTTATATTTATTTGTTATAGAAATAAAATCAGTTTGCATAACTGAGAATGTTTCTGTAAAATGCTATAATTGAAACTTCTCTCTCTAGATACTGAACTCAAGAATCCACAGATCTGATGAAGATGGGAGGGGAGTCAGAGCACATTTCATAGTCTTTATAGGCCACATTAGAGGCATCTAAAGAGGCTACTTAAGAACTGATGTGGCCCTAAGACTTTGACCCTCCAGTTTTATTCTCCACCATAGATACCTTATGAGGTCATTACCTTAGCTCAACCTAATGCAAGGTAGGTTTCTGGGTATAGCCCATGTATGTTTATATATATAAAATGTCTCTATTCCTCCCAAGACTCCCCCAAAGCTCAAATGTTGAAATTGTGGAAAACACCAGATCACTTGAAATCATCCACTCCCTAAACACTTGTATTCCTGGTACGATCTCCAGGTGGCACTGTTTCATTTTTCACACTGAAAGTGCATACTCTTGCTTCCTTTGTAATTTATTCCTCATCAAACCTTGGAGGTAAAGTTGAGTTTATTAATGAGTCTTCACTCAGAGTTTAGGAAATAACTATAAGTGTCTACAACTCAGACACAGTTAATGCTTGCTCTTTTTCAGTTTCCAAAATTGGACAAAGGCTTTGTGGGGCCTGGGAGTCACTGAACTAGAAACAAGTGGTAACATCTGTCTCCCACTCCACCCCTAACCCCCAGAGGAGAGAAGACAAGTTAGGGTAAAGGGATCTGGAGGGATCGTATTCCAAGTATGGGATGTGCTGGGAACTAAGAGACAGAAAAGTAAATTCACTATTTCAGCCCTCACTGCCAGGTGTGCCCTCCAACCAAAGAAAAAGACCAAAAAAAGCAAGCCTCATAAACATCAATAACTTATACCAAACTATGTCAATGAATTTCTTCATCTCGATGGTCTCAATTAATGTCAACAGCCAAAACTTATCAATCAAATGCAAAGAGGAGCCAGATATATCATAAAATTGAATCAAAATTTCTGCTTCCTACAAGAGACATATTGTGATAAAAGGTAAACATCTAAATCTGGAAAACAATCTTAAAGGCAAACAGTTCCTGAAATATATGGTGCGGTCTTACTTGAATTAGACAGCATAGACTTCAGATTAAAAATATGCTATCTGGGACAGGAATAACCATACAAAATGGTCAGAGAGAGCTGAAGGTCTAAAAGGCAGTTCATCTCACATATGACCAAACTCAGCTCAACCCCTGAACCACATATGGTTCCTTGAGTACAACCAGGAGTGACCTCTAAGCATAGATCTAGAAGTAAGCACTGAGCACTATTGGGTGAGATCCAAAACAAAAAGATTATATACAACAATGCATTATACACTGAAGAGGAATTTATCTAGGGATGCAAGGATGGTTTAGTATGTGCAAATGAATTAATCTAATTCAACACTTTAAAAAAAAGGAAAGAGAAATACTATATAATCATTTTTATAGAAATGTATAGAAAAATATTTGACTAATTTTCTTTTCTTTTTTTAATTGAATCACCATGACACACAGAGTTACAAAGCTGTTCATGGGTGGGCTTCAGTTATACAGTGTTTCAACACCTATTCCTCCTCCACAGTGTACATTTTCCACCACTAGTGCCCCTAGTTTCCCTCCTGCTACCCTTCCCCTAGTTTGGCTCTCTCTGGCTCTCTAGCAGGCACTTTTCTTCTCTCTCTCTCTCTCTCTCTCTCTCTCTCTCTCTCTCTCTCTCTCTCTCTCTCTCCCTCCCTCCCTCTCTCTCTCTCTCTCTCTCTCGTTTTGGGCATTATGGTTTGCAATACAGATACTGAGAGGTTATCCTGTTTGTTCCTTTACCTATTTTCAGCACTCAATTCTTATCCAGAATGATCATTTCCAACTTTGTTTGTCATAGCGGTTCCTTCTCTATCCCAACTGCCTTCTCCCCGAGCACTTGTGGCTGGCTTCCAACCGTGAACCAATCCTCCTGGTTCCCTGGTTCTTTCTGTTGTCCTTGCATAGTGGTCTCGTACTATGTTTTTTATATCCCACAGGAGTGCAACCGTTCTATGTCTATCCCTCTCCTTCTGACCCATTTCACTCAGCATGATATTGTCCATGTCCACCCATTTATAAGCAAATTTCATGATTTTATTTTTTCTAACAGCTGCATAGTATTCCATTGTGTAGATATACCATGGTTCCTTTAATCAATCATCTGTTCTCAGAAATGTGGTCTGTTTCCAGATTCTGGCTATTGTCAGTAGTACAGCATTTAATATAGAAGTGCAGATAGCAATTCTGCTGTGTTTTGGTGCTCCTGGAGAGTATTCCCAGAAATGATATTGCTGGGTTGGATGGAGCTCAATTTATAGCTTTTTGATGGATACCCGTATTGTTTTCCAAAATGACAGAACTAGTCTGCATTCCCACCAATGATGAAGAAGAGTTCCTTCAATTTTGTTAAAGTGTATTATCTTCTTTTTTGATTCATGAATAATATTTTATCATTTTTATTTATCTTTTTTAATTGAATCACCATGAGCTAGACTTACAAAGCTTTCATGCTTGAGTTTCAGTTATATAATTATCAAACACCCATCCCTCCACCAGTATACATTTTCCATCACCAATGACCAATGTTCTCGTATCCTTACCTCTCCCCCTGCCTCTATGGCAGACAGTCTCTCTTTCTCTCTCTCTCTCTCTCTCTCTCTCTCTCTCTCTCTCTCTCTCTCTCTCTCTCTCTCTCTCTCCCTTTGGGCATTATGGTTTGCAATAATGAAAGGCCATCATGTTTTGTCCTTATTTATTTTCAGCACACATCTCCCACCCAGAGAGATCCCTCCAACCACCATTTATTTAGGGATCCCTTCTCTGTCCCAGCTGCCTTCTCTCCCAGCTCATAAAGCAAGCTTTCAGCCATGGAAAAGTCTTCCTGACCCTGTCTCTACTGTCCTTGGGTGTTTGTCTCATATTATGATATTTTATATTCCACAAATGAGTGCAGTCATTCTATGCCGGTCTCTCTCTTTCTGACTCATTTCACTTAGCATGATACTCTCCATGACCAACCACTTTTAAGCAGATTTCATGAATTCATCTTTTCTAACAGCTGCATAGTATTCCATTGTGTAGATGTACCAATGTTTCTTTAACCAGTCATCTGTTCTCGGACACCCGAGTTGTTTCCAGTTTCTGGCTATTCAGGGATCCAAGTAGGGTTGGTCATGTGCAACAGAATCTTTGTATTTTTTCTCCAGCAGCCCACCCTTTTTCTTTTTCATGTTATTTCCTGTTTTCTTTCTTTGAAATTATTGGAATAGGCCCATAGACAGAATTTCATTGTGTGATTTCTAAATAGTGAGTACAGAAGATTAATGTGTGTGAAACCATCCTGATGAGGAGATTTTGTATAGTGAACACTCTTTCTCTGCCTCTTTATTTTTGGTTTGTGTTTGTCCCATATGCAGTGATGCTCAGGACTTGCTCCTGTCTCTATGCTCAGGGATCACTCCTGGTGGGGGTAAACACCTTGCCCACTGTATTACGGCTTTCGTCCCAATGACCTTATGTGCTCATCATTGCCAGATGTACTTGACTCTAAGTTTTTTCCCTCTGTCATTTTGTTCATTTGGCAAATAGAGAGAAAACAATCCTCCATTAGTATGAATTTACAGCTACAAAAAGCATGTTCTTCTTTGTAACTGTCAATGCGGACATACACATGGAAACTGCAACTTGTCATGCATTATTATTTTCTCTCATCTCAGGAAGATGGTTGGCACAGTGTTGAGTGATAGTAGCTGCACTGGAATTCAAAAGACACTCCAGATAGATTTGTGTCATTCCACTGCCATTTGAATACAGAAATAATTTCCCACATTTAGATTTTAGTGTCAAATTTCCTATATGAAACCAAGAGAAGAAAATAAGACTTCCACCTGCCCTGAAGAAACTTGTGTTCTCTCTTAGGTATGTCTTTCTTTCTCTCCTGTTTTCCCTTTACTTTTCTCTGTGGAAATTTTAATATAAAACTGTTTTGCTTCACACACAAAAATAAATTAATCAAGTTTTTTAGTAATTTTAAGATTTAATAGATTTTAATTTTATTAAGTTTAATCATTATGGTTTTCACATGTTTACAAGTGTTAACATTTAAAGTTTGAGTGTGTACAGTTAATATAACTCCCCACCATTAAAGTTCCTCAAAGCCTCCACCAATGTCACTGTGTCACCTCCATCCTCTTTATCTCCCCCCAACTCTTCCCCTTGTTTCGTAGTACCAGTTTTGTAATAAGAGTTGTTATCATTTGATAGTAACATGTCATCGCTCTGTTTCTTTGTAGATCACAGTTGAGTGAGACCATCTGATATTTTATTCTCCCTCTGATTTATTTCACTTGATATTATGTTGTCCAGTTCCAGGCAAATGGAAGTGAATGAAAAGATTTCATTTTTTGTTATAGATGCCTATTATTCCATTGTGTACACATACCACAAATTCTTTATCCATTCATCTTTAGGTGGTTTCAATAGTGCGGCTATTGCAGTTGGTGCTGTAATAAGATAGGTGTTCATATATCTTTCAAATTAAAGATTTGGTACTTGGAGGATAGATGTTGAAAAGTAAAATCACTAGGCCATATGGATATTTCATTCTTGTTTTTTAGAAAATTCTCCATACTATTTTTCATAGAGGTTGAACAGACAAAATTCCCTTGAATAGTAAATGAGGATTCCTATTTCAGATGTCATAGACTTTAAACTGGTATTTTAAATGTACAGGGAATGTGTCTTAATTCCTCTGTTATGAGAATTTCAATGTAAAAAATATTTTATAGAGGATGAAATATATATATATACACACATATAGTTGTATACATATATACCATTGGAATGTTGGAAAAATCATGACATCAAAATTAATGAAAAGTATAAACCGGAGTCAGGTACATTAAGAGAATATAACAAGTGTATATCTTCCATTATTGACTGCTTGGTAGTCAATTTCATAACTTCCTAAATTGCTCTTTAAAAACTAGTATCATGACAAACTGTCCAACAAACACTGTCCTCCCATTGTTCATCGACTTGCTCGAGCGGGTCCAGTAACATCTTCATTTTTGAAACTTGTTGTTACTGTGTTTGGCATATTGAATACGTCACAGGGAGCTTGCCAGGCTTTGCTGTGAGGGCAAGATACTCTCTATAGCTTGCTGGGCTCTCTGAGAGGGGCAGAGGAATTGAACCCGGCTTGGCCGGGCTTGCTGCATGCAAGGCAAACACTCTACCACTGTGCTATTGCTCCAGTCCAGCATCATGACACAATGGTTTATTTTTTTACCTTTTTCAAAATCCGTCCCTTCACCAGTGTACATTTCCCACCACCAAGAGCACCAGCTTACCTCCTGCCTCCGTGGCAGGTACTTTTCTTCTCTCTCTCTCTCTCTCTCTCTCTCTCTCTCTCTCTCTCTCTCTCTCTCTCTCTCTCTCTCTCTCTCTTTCTCTCTGTCTCTCTTTAGTGTGAGTCTTGCTAGTGGTTTCGCGGTCTTGTTTATTTTTTCAAAGAACCAGCTCTTGGTTTTATCGATCATTTTGATTGTGTTTTGGGATTCCAGCTTGTTAATTTCTGCTCTAAGTTTTGTTTTTTCTTTCTTCCTCCTGCCTGATTTGGGCTCCTTTTGTTGGTCTATTTTCTAAGATTTTAAGCTGTGGGGTTATTTAGGTGGGCCTTTCTTCCTTCCTGATGTATGCTTGCAGAGCTATAGACTTTCCTCTTAAAGGTGCTTTTGCTGTATCCCACAAGTTCTGCCATCTCATGTCCTCACTCTCATTTGCTTCCAGGAATCTTGTGATTTCCTCTCTAACCCACTGATTGCTCAATAGCCAGTTGTTTATTTTCCAGGTATTTAATTTGATTCTCCATTTATGTGTGTTACTAACTTCTAATTTCAGTGCCTCGTGGTCTGAAAAGAGAGTTGATACCATTTCTGTCCTCTTAATGTTTTAGAGGTGT